AACAATTCGAGCCCTGGGCATCCATGTAGCAAAAGAAGGAAAGAACTGATCATTTTACTCTCTGCTTTAATTCCATAAGGGTTTCCACAGACACACTGCAAATATTTCCCATTCAGTTGCCATTATCACAAACATTTAACTGGGCCTGTAGTTCATGTTAGGTACTGTGTTAGGGAAGGTGATCTGTGTGTGGGCTTGTCAAGCAGAGATGCCAGTTACTCAAAGAAGAGGGAAGGTTGGCCACCCAGAAACAGCAACATAGGAGAGGAAACTATGGTAGGAATAATACTGTCCACTTCTCAAACACCCACCGTTTCCCAGTGCCTCACGCTTTTATATATGACATCCAGCAACACACATGATGACATTACAAGATGCAATTACTCCCACTTTACACAAGAGGCAACTGATGCTCAGGAAGGACAGACAAGCTGCCCAAGTTCATATGGGTAGTAAGTGGAAAAGCCAGGATGCAAACCCGGGTGTGAAAAGTGCAAAGGGTGTGGTCTTTCTGGAGAGTCAAAGCTGGATGGTCATTGTGAGGGTGGGTACTGGGGCTTTCGTCCATTCCTTCCCATTGACGCCTAGGAGGTCAAGGCTACCCATGACCTTTGTAGCAGCCAGATCCAGTGGTCCTTCTTGTCTTCACCTCACAACAGCAGTTGGTTTGGCCGCCTACTCTTGCTCTTGCACCTGTCTTCTTTAGCATCCTCAGCACCACGCTCACCTGCTTTTTCTCCCCATTGGCTGCTCCTCCGTAGCATCCTCTGCCAGCTCCTTCTTTGCTCAACCTCTGAATGCTGAGTGCCTCTGAATTAATCCGCCAGCAATTCACTTTCCCCCCTTTCTCCGTAGGTGATCTTCTCAAATGCCATGACTCATATCAACATAAATAGGCAGATACCATGAATAATGTCATCATAAATAGGCAGGTGATACCCATGTTCTGAAATCCAGCTTCCACCTGTGGATGTTACTATCAGCCACCTACTTGCAATGTATCAGTCTTGTTTGATTCTTTTGTTCCACATGCCGCCCCCACCAGCCAATCTATTAATAAGTCCAATCGGTTCTCCCACCAAAATAAATCCCAAGTCTGTTCACAACCCTCTGCATCTGCTGCCTGGCGCACGCCACCATCATTTCTCCTTTGGACCAACTCTCTGCGTCTGCTGCCTGGCACACAGCACCATCATTTCTCCTTTGGACTGTATGCATGAGTCTCATAGTTGACTAATTGTGCTTTCATATCTGTGCCCCAAATCCTTTCTCCACAAAGGGATCGTGGAAAAAATGTAACTCAGATCGGGTCACCTCCCTGATTAAAATCCTTCAATGACTTTCCATGGCAGTTAGGATAAAACCCAACTGTCCCCACCACGTGCGGGGCCTCGTGTGAACTGGCAGCATCTGCAGCTCGGGGCTCACCGCTTCGCTCTCCTGTCTTGCAGGCTCACCTCCTCCCGCGCTGGCCTTGTCCCTGTTCCCCAGGAATGCTGAGACCAGAGCCTCCTCATGGCCATGGCTCTGGTGCGCCTTCCTGCCTGCAGTTTCGTCCTGCCAATCTTCGCATGGTGGTTCCTTTCCATCATCTAGGCCTCAGCTACAGCGTCTCTGCTTTGATGGCCTTCCTTATCCAAAGTTGTTCACAACTGTCATTATTTTTGACGACACCATAGCACTATCTGAACATGATCTGAAATTATCAAATTTGTTCACATTAAAGAAAATCCTTCTTCCTCATGGCGGTAGAACACAAGCTCCGTGATAGCAGTGATGGTGTCTGTCTGACTCACCATTATATTTCACCTCTGATACCAGCACAGTGCCTGGAGCAAAGCCAATTTTAATACATTTTTATTGAACAGAGAAGTAAATGCTCCGATGAATGTAATAGCTCACTGAGTTACAGTTATTGTTATAAGCCTTTATTTATTTATTTCATTTTCATATTCTCTTTCACCATCAGTTAAACAATTTTTCATTAAAATATAACCATCTATAAGGCCAGTATTTTTTTTCCTTGTTCATTGTGCTTGGCATTGAATAGGGGCTTGATAAAAATCTGTTGTGTTTGGTCGAACTCCCCACCGCTAGGGGATCCTGTCATATTAACATGGGTCTCTCAATGATGCAGAGGCTTTGAGGCCCTAATTAAAATACAGTTGAAAGGTGTGGCTGCAGGTGTCATGGCAGGAGGTAGGGAAGGACATTGGGGTGCTTTCTGGTATCTTTCAAATTATTTTAAGGCATCTGCCACAAGAGAAGTAGCTCCTGGGTCCTTAACTCCCCATGGCCTGTGGAGCACCCCAGAAGTCCTACAGCCCAGCTTGTGGACTCACATCAGCCCTGCTCCCTCTGAAGTTTCATTTCCAGATGAAATTTCTCTGGCATCAGCTTGCTCGCACTTAAGGCAGCAGCTCTATCCCATGTGCGGTATTCAGTAGTGGGTGGTGTTTACACCTGACTCCCCAGAGCCTAGCACAGTGCCTGGCGTGTTATGGGTACACAGGAGATGCTTCTTGAATTCACTGGAATTGAGCAGAAACTTTCTAAACCAGAGTTTGGGAAGGTTCCTCCTGGAGCTGCAGCCTGGGAGAGAGCGAGGTCTCGGAGCTGACTCCTAGCAGCCTCTTCCTGTTCCTGGCTCACCTCCACTTTAGCACAGTGGGGGTTCTAGATGCTTTGGGCGAAGTACAGCCGAATTCCCCCTCCAGAGGTGGCGCTGGGAAGTCCAACTTTCCCTTTTGCTTTCTGTGGGGCTCTCAGGATGGCCCACATGCCCAGCACAGCGCCTGATATCCAGTGGCCCCGAATCTCGGTGGCCGCTCGCGACAGGCTTGCGGCAAGTGTTTCACGCCCCTTCTCTCACCAGAAATATAGAGGTACAAGGTCTCACCTCCTCCACGGTGTTTTCCATTGGAGTCACGCTCTCAGTGACTTCATGGCCTGTTTACTTAGCCTAAAGACCAAGAGACGGTAATAACAAAGGGAGGGAAGCGGGTGGGAAAAAACAGGCGATTTTCTGAGGCTCCAGAGAACCACTGATAGGATTAGATGTTAATAATATTTATTTTTATTGTTTTTGAAGATTAGCATATGCCCTTCGCTGTGTTTATCCCTGTGCAGATTTAACACAAGAATCCTGAAGTGATTTCATGTCCCCCGAAGGGATGAACCCAAGTAGTGAGAAATATCAGCCCAGAGATCTTCATTCTTTCTCCTGAAGTTTCTCTCTTCTGGAGTATTAGGTAGGATTTTGTTTTTGTGACTTTGTGAAGTTAAGTAGGATTTTACTCAGCACCTCTTTTTAATAAAGACCAAATGAAAGTGACTTACGTGAGACGGAAGTTTGCCACTTCTTTCATGGTAAAGACTCAGCTGGCCAGCGGCCCAGGAAGCAGGCATTTATGCCCCACGAGTCAGGTGGAGAACCGTGCTTTGCTATCCTCAGTGACTAAAGCACTGGAAGTACTAGAGTGAACAAGCCAGACCAAGATCCCTGCCCTCGTGGGGATTAGGGAGGTGGAAGATGGAAATAAGCATTAATAAAGGTATAGCACGTTAAAAGGGGATAATGACCAGGAGGAAAAGTAAGACAGGGTCAGGTGATTGGAAGTTAGGGAGGGCAGGTGGTCAGGTGGACCTCATCAAGAAGGGGATAATCAAGCAAAGACTGGAAGGAAGTAAAAGAGTAGGCTTTGGGGATATCTGAGGGAAGAGCTGGTTCAAAGGTCCTGGGGCAGGATCATGCCTGGCATATCTGAGGAATAGACACAAGGCAGGTATGTCATACAACAAGTGAGCAGGAGAAGGGGAAGGAGGTGGGAAGACAGAGAGAAGACAGGAAACCAGTCACCAGTCAAGAGGGCCTTATGGCAAATGTAAATAAAGCTTTGGGTTTTTTACTCTGAGTGAGATGGGAAACCCCAAGTGGACTGTGGGCAGAGGGTTGGCATGCTGTGGCTTAAATTTGAAGAGAGTCACTTAGTCTTCTCTGGGGAGAGGGGAGAGGAAAGGCCAGGAGAGCAGCTGGGAGCCTGCTGGATCATCCTGCGAGAGACCGGAAGCTTGCGTCTGTGACAGCAGCGGGGCAGACTTCATGTTGTCGGACTGTGGTAGAGCCAGCAGGATTTGCTGACAGAGTGGGGCGGGCCACGAGGGAAAGAGAGGGGCCCAGGATGAGGCTGCCAGTAAAGGAGAGAAGGAGGTTTAGAGGGAAAATCAAGCGTGTGATTTTTGAAGACACGAAAGGGGAGATTCTCATGAGACATTAAATAGAGCCATCACACACACTAGATCTGTTACTAGGAAGGGTTGCAGGAAGACCCTGGATGGAGAGAAATGTGTGCGTCGGCTGATGGGTGCACGAAAAGCCGTGAGAGTGAGCGCAGGTAGAAAGAGAAGGGGTTTGAAATCACCTGGACAAAAAAAAAAAAAAAATTCCAAACTATTGAGAGTCTAAGTGTGCTCACAGCATTTCTTGTTCTGCAGAGAACAGAGACCTTCGTTCTGGTTCTGCTGGTCCCTCTGTGAGAGGAACCTGGAGAGCACTTCCAGGGCTGGAGGTCAGCCCAGGGGAACGAGGTCATCCAGGTGCCCTGGAGGCCGTGAGAGAGACGCACTCGTCTGGATTTTCCCTCCAGGAGCTGCAGCGAGCAACGTCTACAAGGGTTTGTGCTCCTCTGTTTCCTGCCACTTACGTGTATTTGCAATCGACTAGGAGAATGTAGAAAATCATGTCGACACTAATGGCAAATTCCAGCTCACAACAATACTTTGAGCATAGTGTGGCCATTCTCAGTCCTTAAACTCTTTCCCAGACCCGTGGGAGGACCAGAACTGTGAAAGAAGTCCGAGTCCCAGCATCTGGGATGAGGTGGGACGAGATGGGACTGTCTTGGATATGGAGCAAAGAGGGGAGGGTCTAAAGGAAGTCCAGGGGCCAGAAAGTGCTAAAGCAAGCACTGACTTAAAAGGGACAGGGAACAGTGATTAAAAACTGGCCTGAAGCTTTGGGTCTGCAACCAGAAAACGTGAAGTAACTCACCTAAAAAGGATAACACTCTGTGTCCCGGGTTGGAGGTGCTGCCCGTTAAGCCCTTCTGTGCGAATTCGAGAGAGACGTCCCTTCCGTTAGGCAGATGCAGCTCTGAATCAGGGCTCATAGCAGGACACACACGTGCCCGCCCCACTTTCCTCTGTCCCTTGACAATGTGGAGGGCTTCATTTGGGATTTAGAATTTCTTCCTCCCTGTCAGATTCCAGGAACAAAGCTGTCCTAGCGGACTGTGACGAGAGCTGTGAGTGAGCGGTAACGGGAGGCAGATCACAAGGGACCTGAAGGCACTGATGCTCCATCTCAGAATATTTTCTCACTGTGATGGAAACCTCACTGCTTCTAGTTGCCAGTCCCTCCCTCACCTTGATCTTGGGGGTCATTCCCTTCCCTGTGGGTTGGCTTTCAACTTCAAGGCCATGGCTGAGGGCTTTTCCTCAACTCTCTAGGTCTGTGAGCAGGCAGGCTCACATCCTTTCATTTAGGCTTCAGGTTGAAGCTTTTTCTTCACTGTTCCTCAAACCGACAACACTCTCACTGGGTGTCTCCTGGTTTGGGAGACTCGAGGTAATTTGATTAATTTATTTTTAAATGGAGCTACCGGGGGTTGAACCCAGGACCCTGTGCAGGCTAAGCCCGTGCTCTACCACTGAGCTGTGCCCTCCCCCCAACAAAAATGTTCTAAAATTAGATTATATCAATGACTGCCCAACCCTGTGAATATAGTAAAAAGACATAAAAGTCTACAAATGTCACATGGACACTTCCTTTAATACCCAAAGAATCGGATCCTGCTCAGAGAAGGCTGATGAGTGACCAGAGGACAAAGCCCTCTCTGCTCCTTCCCATTGTCTACTTCTCTCCTTCTTCAGCAATAAAGTCTAGGTGGCACCATCAGTAGTTCCTGAAACCATCAGTATGTTAGAATCACTTGGGTCCCACCCTAGACCAGCCAGAACCTTGGTGGGGCCCAGGCTCAACCTTTTAAAAGAATCTCCTGGAAACTTCAGGTTTCTGATCCATCACGTAAGGAGCTTAGAAGTTATCACTCGGTCCCAGCAGTAAGTAAAAGCTGAACAAACTGAAAAATCAAAAAAAGATGGGGAAAAAGGAACAGAATATTCAAGAACTGTGTGACAATTACAAAAGGCATAACGTAACATGTAAAGGGAAAACCAGAAAGAAAAGAAAGGAACCAAAGAAATATAGAAAAAACAGTGACTGAGAATTTCCCTAAATTAATGCTAGACACCACATCACAGATCCAGGAAACTTAGAGAAAACCACGAAGATTATCTACCAGAAAGCTACAGTTAGGCATACCATATTCAGACTATAGAATATCAAAGATACAGAAAAAAATCTTGAAAGAGGACAAAGGAATAAAACACCTTACCTACAGAGAAGGAAAGGTAAGAATTACGTTTGACTCCTCGAAGTCATGCAAGCAAGAAGCTAGAAGAGATGTGACCCCTCTACCCCTCTATCAGCTCATCTGTAGTGAGTCTTACAATTTCTATCACATAAAGTGTGAATATTTTAATGTATTGTGTAGGGGCTCAGGGCGGACGTGCAGAGGGCATGGGAGGAGATCCTGCCCTCTGCTCCTTCTCTTAAGTCCTGCTCTGGAGCCCTGGGCCTGTTGAGGGAGGAAGCCATCCTCTGGGCCTTCCTCGTGCGGAATGCGTGGTTCGCTGGACCCTGTCCCAGTGTCCTGAGAGGCTCCGCCCACCTCGCCTACATCCAGTCCTCCCTGAATCACGTCTGCCTACAGCCTTCCCGAACCTGTCACAGCTACAGCCCCACCCAGACGACCTCGCAGTCCTGAGTGTTCATGAGCCCTGACCTGCCATCACACCATTTGTCATCCTGAGAAAAGTCTAGGAAGTTAAGAACATCAGTCTAGCAGGAAACTTTGGCTGGAAATTGGAAAGGATTCTCCGGTAAGCTTTCTAGTCTTTCCTTGTCCTGCGGCCTGTGGAGTCAATGAGCCAACCTCTCCTCAAGGATCTCAAGTGGAGGGCGTGCTTAGGGCATTGTCATTCTACTCCATCTTCAAAGGACAGAAACTGAGTCTAGTCACTCTCAAACCGTGAGGTCAAAGATTTTCCCAAGAGTCTCTTTATCTATTAATTGGCAAATGGACAGGATTCCAGGGAAGAACTGTGCCTTTTGTGTGTGAAAAGTTGTGTGGATGGTGACTGTGAAACAAGAACTGGTTAAAGAATCCGAAGAGGTGTGCTCTAGTCCAGACTCTGCCGTTCACTCCCTGGTGACCCTGGGAGGTCACTAGGTTACTCAGAGGGTCGGGAGGATTCGCTGAGACAATGGGTGTGCGTCATTGTCCAAGTGGGGGCTCCTAGCAATAAACCATCCCATCTGAAAAAAAACAGCACCTTGCTTCCCAGAGTGTTTAATGCCATCTACGTACATCTCTCCTGGATCCTTCAACACCCTTGAGCCAGGGATTTGCTCAAGGCCATGCAGCTGCGGTCAGACTAGAACCCCGGTCTCCTGACCCCAAGGGTAGACGCTCTGTGACACTCACGCCCACCGTGAGAAGACGTGCTCTGACAGGACCGCCAGGACCAGGGAGGGCGGAGGTGCTCCTGCTGGTGCTCTCTGCCCGCGGCTCCCCCACTGCGGCCGGTCCTGCTGCGTCTGGGCTGCCGGCCCAGCGATCGTCCTGGGGGCAGATGGCGTCGGGGCATTTCGCTTCCGGCCAGAGAAGGTTCTGTCAGTGGGAGGAGGCTCCTGAGAGACGACGTGCCTCTGTCGTGGGCCGGACTCGACTACTTCTCCTTTTTGGTGCCGGCTAATTTCAGGCTGAAGGAAGAGAGGAGGGCGGCCGGTTACCACAGTGGCAGTGAGGCAGCGCGCTGCACTCTCTGCTGGCTGGTTGCTGCCACTCCCTTTAAGCATGGCAATGGTCAAAACCAGAACCCTTGGCCTTCGAGCAGGGCCCCTCGCATTCTTATTCTCATCATCCTCCCCAACAACGTGTAACCTCTGAAGCGATGCGTGGCCTTTCTGTGGCGAAGCACTCCCTAGTATCCGGCTTGTCTTCCAGGCACAGCACTGGCAGGTGATGCCTGCTGGACTTGCAGCAGGCCTGAGAAGGTGGGGTGGCTGCTGAGAAGCCAGGCCCGCCACCCACAGAGCCTGCTGCCTATAACCTTGATCTTCAAGCACCGATCCCCTGGGGACCCCCCTATGGCCCCCCACAGTCCCACTCTGATGCTTGTACAGAAGTGAATTAGGCTAAATCAGATTCTGACAGCCTCAAATCCTTTCCATTCTTATTGCCAGTATCCTGCCAAGCAGAAGAACAGGTCTCCCTTCCCACCTTATGCGTCTTGCCCCGCAGCTCTGGAGCATTAGGGGAGCCAGCAACAAAAGATCACCTGGGACTCTTCCCTCAGTAATAGCATTCTACTGGAAGGCGGGTCAGAGGCTCCACTTTCCTAAAAGTGCCTGTCTTGGTTGGAGGCGGATCACAACCCGCAGAGAAACCTTTCCCTCACTACCCTGACTATAAGTCTCTCGGGAAGCAGAAAGCTCAGCTTCTTGGTTCCGTACGCCAAGGAGCATCAGGATACGGAGGGAGGTCTCAAGGAAGTTTCTCCTCCATCTCCCATCATACACTTGGACAAAACAGCTCTGAACTGAAGAAGAGGACTTCTGGCTCATGCCTACCCTGGGACAGGACACAGCTGCATGGAGGAGAACACGTGTCTTGACTGGATAAGGATGCTGGATGAAGCTAAAGACAAATACAGAGAAAAAATGCCTCAGGACTCATGGCAAGGCACTCGCTACTCCCTGGAGGGCCATTCCAGGACAGCGTCCAGGGAAGACCTCCAGGGGAGGAGTTGGGAGAGGGAAGAGGAAGCAGCGATGCTCCAGGGACATTCAGGAGACCTGGTGTGTATGCTGCAATATGCTTTTGTGTCATAGGAGAATTTCATTTGAATGCAAAGGTCATGATGCCAACCTCATAAACCCAGGGAAGTAAAGTAAGAATATTAGGCCAGGTGAACACTAGAACCACAAGACTTTAGGGCTGTTTGGGTCCTATAGATCACGGGCAATGTTTCATAGTGGCCGCCCCCATTAAGCAATGAGGAGACGTACACAAATGAGCAGGCCGGGTAAGCTGGCATCACAGACCTTCAAGAAGCAGAAAAGAACCTGGAAATAGATGCCGACCATTGGGATAGAAAGGCAAGGCTTGCTGCGAGAGCCCACGCAGAAACAGAGGTGGGTTTAGTGCTTAGGAGAAGGAGTGACTCCTTGAGGCTGAAGATGGGGAAGAAAAAGGATGTTAACAAGGGCCCCGACATGGGAGGCTTGGGCCAGCGTGTTCACTGCAGGGATAAGAAGATCAGGGGCCTCTGGGGAGTAGGAGGTATGGGACGGGGTTCCTGTTCCAGCCGGCAGGTGCTCTCAGTGGGAGGAAAAACCAACCACTGGGATGTTATCAATATGTCTCTTAATAAAGCTCACACACCAAACCTGGGAGTGGGCCGAGGTGCCAGGAGGGACATAGAGAAGCTTACGCGTCCGCCTGCAGGGGGCCGTATCAGGGGCTGTAATCAGGGAGGCAGGAGTGCTGAAAGGAGGGCTGTGCACAGACCCTGGGGGGACGGTCGGGAGATCCGGTTCTCACCACATCCCTTAGGAGTGATTTTGGGGGTCTCGGTCTCCTCATGGCCAGTAGGAGACTGGCCGAGCGGGCCCCCGAGCCACCCTCTAAGTGGGTAGTGGGCTTTGATATCAGTGAGGTTCCAACTCAACTCACAGTTTTGGACCGAGCTTACTGCTGCTTCCCGCTGCTGGGGCCGCAGCCACTCGATACCTCTGAGCAAGGTGAATCTTAAGACGGCGTGGTCTCCTGGAGGAGGACGAAGGGGGAGCGTCACAAACCCTCACGGCAACACCCAACGAGACGAATCTTTGTAAACAAGCAAGAAAGCTCCTGCTCCACGCTGTCTGGGTGACAGGATGTTAATGACAGAGCATCGCCCAAGCCCAAGCCTCCGGATCTGCGATCAGGGTCTGGGACTGAGGGAGGGGCCGTGCGACGGTCAGGGTCCCTCAGCCCCACACCCTGACCCTCCAGGCCTAGAGCCCCAGGGGCCTGACCCCTTAGCTCAGGGCACCCTGCTGCCCTCTTCCAACTCCAGACACCAGAAAGGAACGGGGTATTTACTTCTTGGGGCTCGGCAGTAGGAGGTGAGCCAAATGCTGCAAGCTCCGGGGCTACCACTGAGGGACATTTTCTGGCTCCTCTGAGTGAGCATCACTTGCCTGTCCTGCCTGCCCGCCTCCCTCTCCTTTTCCTCCTACGACTCCCTTCCTCTTCCCCTACCCCCACCCGCATCCTAAATAAGCCCTTGCACCCACAGGGACCTTCTGCCCCACCCCATACTGAAAAGATTGCTAATTTCCGTTTGCTGATGTGACACTTTGCAAGGCCCAGATAATAAGCAATGTTCACGGACCCTTGGGGTGGCTGCAGCCAGAGACGTAGGTGATTTGTTTTGCACTAAGGTGAGGACCCTCTCAGAGGGGCAGGCGCCGGGCTCCACAGTCAGCCAGAGTTGCTTCCCTGACCATGCAGGTTGGTCAGAGGTGGACTGAGGTCTCAGGGGCTCTCATTTGCACTCCAGGAAGGGGGTGGGCCGCTGGTCTGTGAGGGCTGGAGTGGGGGCGGGGTGAGTATATGGGGAGATGGACAGGAGGATGGGGCAGGTTTGAGCCGGAACACCAGAGGCTCAGCTCCATCATGGGACAGTTAGCTGCTGTCTTAAAGGCTCTTATAGACTCTTGTCCTATCTCGGTATTTTGTTCCAGTGCTGGTACTGCTCCCAGATTCACAGACCTGTTGTCTTCAGTTCCCCGAAATTTTCACTGCGGAGATATCCGGCCTTGCCCACATCAGGCACTGCCCTGGGCACCAACTCCTCCCTCTCTTTAAAATTCCCTTTTGCTCAAATACTGATCCCAGCGCAGATGTCAGGAAAGGAACTGAATTTATCTGCTTTGCGTTAAGAAAGCATATATATGTATATATTTATTTATTAATAAAGATATTAATAATGTATAACACATGAATAATAAATGTATAAACCTCTCATAATCATGCTACCCAGAGATAATTCTACTGATGCTTTATTTCTGAGTTCTTTCCCATATTTTCATAGAAATTACATAAATACAAAAGATTTATATATATTTACCAAATGGAAGTCCTACTCTACACCCACTTTTAATTTTCTCAGTTAACACTATAAAACAGATGCTTTTCAAATGGTGGGACTGAATGGAGACAGTTGGAGCAGGCGGCTCCACCAACAGCGGTAAAGCCGTCCATCGCCTCCGCTGACCCACCGCAGAGCCTGGGACCCGCGCACCCGGCGGCGTCCTGGGAGGTACTGCTGGGCAGCAGGGCACAGGTCGGGTCCCCTTCTGCCAGCACTGATCGCCACAGATGAAGCACGTGTTACTGCGCCTGTGAGGGCCACGTGAATGAGACGGCCACCCCTCCGGCCCTCCCTCTCCCGGCGTGAGCATCGTCTGCTATAGACAATGGGGCTGTGGGGCACGGCGGGACTCACCTCCGCTCCAAGGAGGGTACTTGCACACAGATATAGAAGCAGTCTTTTTGTCCTCGAAATTCTTCCCCCTGTACTGGAAGTAAGAGCAAATTGCCTTCCAGACACAAAACCTGTGAGAAAAACGGCTTCTGGTCACAAGGAGAAAACCAAGCAAGGCGGGAACACTGAGCACAGGCGAGGTGGGGCGGGGCCCGTCCTCGCGGAGGGCGGGGTGTCCGACAGAGGCGAGGGGGGCCCCTGGCCCAGAGGCCCTTCATCTGAGGCCTCCTCTCTGTGCAGGCCTGGCTCCGGTGAGGGCCTGGCCTGGGCAGGAGGCTGGGACCCCGTCTGGACACACCAGAGAATGGGTGAGACTGCGCAGCGCTCGGGCCTGGGTGGGCGTGGGTGACCGCTGGGGGCTCGCTCCAGCGCTAGACTCTGAGGTGACTATCTGACCCCACCCGGTGCAGCCAGAGTGCCTGACTGGCCTCCCCTCTGGTCCTGACCCTTGGTTTCCATCCGGCCCCTTACCTGAGGGCTGTGACTCCCTCCCCTTCCTCCCGGGCCCTTTCCCTGGACTGGACCCTGGTTCCTCACAGAGGCGCGCGTACTCACGGCAGCCTGGGGACTCCTGCTCCCCAGAAGTCCTTGTAACCCTCTCCATCTCTTCCTCCCTGCCCTCTAACCCTTTGCTGTCCCTCAGCCTGCCTTGGGATTGGACCTCTTGGAGGTCGGTCTTGGCTAAAATTAGATTTATTTTCTCTCCTGCTTTGTCTTGCCTGCTGCCCTCCCTCCTCCTCCCTGAGGGGAACTTTATTCACTTTACTTTATTCATTCACAGTTGGTTTCTCCCATTCCGCTCACTGAACTGGGTCTCCCTCCCATCATGAACCACCCAATTTGCCATAAGTGCATTCTTTATGATGCTTAAGAGACCAAGAGATCTGGTTTCTAAGCCTAGTTTTACCACTTACCAAGTGATTGTAGGCAAGTCCCTTAACCACTCTGAACCTTGGTTTCCTCATCTCTAAAATAGGGATAATATTTGCCCACCCATCTTACAGTGTTGTTGAGAGGTTCATCAGAGATGACACACATGGACACAGTTTGCATGATATAAAACTATTTATATAGCAAAGCAAGTCAAGAACCAGCTGCATGAGGATTAGGGCTTCAAAGTCTGCCGGAAGCCCCTCTATACCGCTCAGTAGGTATGAGGGACAGCTCAGCACTGACTCCAACCAGGAGCAGCATGTGTATCTCAGGGGCTTCTGATCCTTCGGAAATTTTCAGGAAGCTTTTCTCCTGGTTAGAACTAGAATCAAGTCTAGAATTAAATGCTAGATGACAGTTGGTGTTCAAGAGGCTAAATGATTATCTTGAACCTGGATTTTTGTAATTCTTTCAATTCTGTATTAAGTAAATTATCTTGGAGCTTTTAAAGTAAAGGTTGGTGATGGGTAAGTGACCTCTACACTTCTATTTTAATAAAGCAACATTTTTTGAGTAGGAGAGGGGGACTCCACAAAGAGCCAGAATCACGTAATAATCTAGATGTCCCAGATAGCCTGGTCTGGGGGCATCCCAGCCAGCTGTCCTCTGATCACTGTCTCCCGGGGCACTGCCATTCACTACATGGGTGGTAGGAGCCAGAGCTGGAGTGGATCACAGGTGTAAGCCACCAGACGGGAGAACCCGGGCTGGCCTCCTCACAGCTTCCTCACCACGTTTCCCTTTTGAATCAGTTGCCACACATTTGCCACTTCAATCTTGTAATCATACAAATCTGAATTTGTAGCTCCTCTTGGAAATTGAATATCTAGCAACTGTGCCCCTGGTGACAATTGTGCGACTTGGGCATCACAGAGCAAAGCTTTTCTGGCTTACTGCCTCCATGAGGCTTCCTATGTGCAAGCACAACTGTGTTAGTCTTGACAGAATTTCTCCCCAAGTAGCTGCGGTCCACCGGCCTGCTCAGGGGAGGAACCCAGACATAAGAAAACCTAACACCTGTTCCACGCAAGCTCAGGCGAGGTGGGAGCCAGGCACTCTGATCCCCAGTCTTGCTGGACTTTCCACCCTCTGATTCAGTGTCCAGTGTGAGAGTGTGAGGGACATAGTGCAGTGAGTAGGATACAGATACACCATCTCAATTCCCATGAAACTGGAAACAGAAACAGAGGGCTAGAGGAAGCCAGAAAAGTCTCTTGAAAGTCGAATGTATTTTCCTGACCTCGTGGTCCTCAGGTGAAGGGAGATAGTTACCTTTTCCAGAAGTACATAATGACAGGGAAGAGAGCCATGATAGCCCCGTGGAAGATGCTCCGGTCTAAGTGGCCCTCTGAAATGGCAGCAAGGATGGCATCCTTCTGGGACTCAGAGATGTTCACCTACCCACAGAGTGCAAACCTGTCACTGGCAGAGGCTCCATGGAAGGTAGAAAACCTCTTTTGGCCCCCAGGACTTTCAAGACCACCCCCTCCCCAGAAGGTGGGAGCTTCTCATGGGGCTGATAGGTAAAGGACATCTGGTTGACCCTGACTTCGCAGTGCCTTACAATTAGCTTTCAGGTTTCTTGTGGGGAAAACGCTTCATGGCAAAAGGCCAGAAAGGAGTGGCGGTCCCCCTTACCCGCAGCCTTGGGGGGACCTCTGAATGCAGGTAGAGCTTTAGGATGATGTTAATTTTGGACTTCATGAGGATCACATCGTTCTCGTTGTACGCCCGGTTGACTTGCAGCACATGAGCTGAACTCACCAAATCATTGAATCTAAAAAGGGCAGAAAGAAGGAAATCACCGAGGAGAAGATGGAAGGCCAGGCAGGGCTGCCGGCCCAGACCCATCTGTGGCCTAAAAATGAAAGGACCATTCTGGGCCCAGGTGTGACTTCGTACATCCAATTGCAATTCATCCATCGGCAAATATTAATTGAACACATGCCACATGTCAGATGATGCGCTGAGTGCTTCTTCACCACAAGCTCCCTCATTTACCCCATCCTCCCTTCTTCACCCGTCTTGGCCCCTTCATCAGTTTTGCCCCTGACTCTCTCTTTCCTCTCCTGTGCTGACCAGTTCACAATTACCAGCACCGCTCTCTGGAGCAACACATTCCTTTTCTTAACACTTTTATTCTAGTACAATAAGTACAACACAACATTTACCAGTTTAATCATTTTTAAACGTGGAGTTCAGCGGCATGAAGTAATCCATGTAAACTGTGCAATCATCACCATGATCCATCTCCAGAACTTTTCTCATCTTCCCAAAATAAACTCTGTACCCATTAAACACTAACTCATTCCTCCCTTCCCTCAGCCCCGGGGGATCACCATTCTACTGTCTGTCCCTCCTAGCGACATCTTCTTTCCACTAACTGAAATACATGTCAGGTACACCTTATCTTGATTTAAGCACACTGTCTGCTGCTCTCAGGCCATTTTCAATCTTAACCAGTTTAAATCTTCCTAGGAGTAGAATATAATGGGGTTCCCATTGTAAGCCTGTTTGGCATATCCATTCACGTATGCTATCAGTGGATATTTATAAAGGGTTTACTCCATGCAGGCACCGTTCTGGGAGCAGGGATTCAGCAGTGCACACTGTAAACACAGTCCTGCTTTCGAGGAGCTCATGAGCAATGAGAGGAAGACGACATGTAAATAAATATGCGGTAGAGAGCTATGAAGACAACAGAAGGGGATGACATGGTTGGGAAGGGGGCGGACTCTGAGACTTGAACAATGAGAAAGAAAAAGACAGTCATCTGAAGACCTGGGGGCAGTGGCTTCTTCCCGAAGAGGGGGCAGCAAGTGCAAAGGCTCTGAAGCAGGCACCAGCGCAGGGGGCACGAGCGGGACAGAGCAGAGACCCTCAAGGCTAGAGGGGGGAGCAAGCAGTGAGTAGGAGGGGGCGAGCTCCGGGATGCAGGCAGGCCCTGTTCACGTAGAGCCTTTTAGGCGATGAGTGGAGGTTTGGCTTTATCCCAGAGGTGACAGGAAGCCACCGGGACACGGTAGGCAGGAGAGGGATATAATGTGATTTGCACTGAGAGAAAGCTACCCTGGCTGTTGTGCAGAGAACAGTCTGCAGGGGGCAAGTGAGAAAGCAGAGATGATGGTGACGCAACGGAGCAGCGGAGGGTGGGCTGTTCGCTCTGGGTTTGTTTTTTTTTGGTTTCTTTCCTGCTCACTATACTCTCCCTTGCACACGTTTTTTTTCCTCCCCCAAATCTCACCACCTCTACTCAAAGTTCAGCTGAGGCGAACTGTCTCCCAAGAAACCACACCTAAGGACCCAGGAGTCTCAGTGCACTTCCAGGGCCTGACTTGACACCTGTCACCCTACTTCCTAACTTTCATTTGTGTGTTTTGTCTGCCACCCTCATTAGTCTGTGGAACCTTGGAGAATACAGAACATCTTAGCTGTTTTTTTGTATTTGCCACACCAAATCCAGTGCCTAAGAAACAGTCAGGTGGGGGTTGGTATAGCTCAGTGGTAGAGCATGTGCTTAGCATGCACGAGGCTCTGGGTTCAATCCCCAGTGCCGCCACTAAAAATAGATAAATAAATAAATAACCTAATTACCTCCCTGCTAAAAAAATAAAAAATAAAATAACACACACAAAAGAATTATCGAAAAGAAAAGAAAAGGAAAGAAAAAATCAATAAGCATTGGTGGAACTGAGTTAAATCCCTCACTGGGGGGCCACGGAAGATCCCTTAACCAAATGGCCCTAACCGGGGTGCTGAGCTCCCCGGTGCCCTGCACACCTGGAGAACATCCTGCCTAATGCTGATGGCGCATCCACCATATACGCTGGTGGTGTCTTTTCATGGACTTCCTCACGTTTCTCCAACTAATGGAGGCAAGTATTTACCAAGAGTTATTCATGTTGCTTCCCAAATAAATATTTTTGCCTGTTGTTACTATAACTTGTAATTGATTAAAAGTGACAAACAATGAACATGAAAAGAAAAGGAACGTGTTGTTTCTGTGAAAACCCACTTGAATGCTTTGGGACATTCCAATAAAGACAAGTTGCTATTTTAAAAAATTGCTATTGAGTTAGATATGTGTGGCACTGAGATTTAAAACATTGAGGAAACAAGGATAAAAATTCAGAAGGATTAAATTGCTTTGCAGTAACCTACAGTTTCTCCCTCCACTGTAAGGGGAGAAAAATTAAAAATACTAGATGGCATTTTGAGTATTGTTTATACAAGAAAAATATGTGAACCTCCAATTAGTGGAATGGTTTTGGCTTTACTTCAAAAGTTTAACAAGTGAGCAAATGTGCATTAATATTTTTTTAACTTGAAAGTATCTGTTTAATGTCATGCACACACACAGACACACGCAACTTTTATTATTATCATTCCTTGCTTTAACTAAAGAACTCCTGGCCCAGTGGTGCTACACAAGAGGACTTCTATCATATCAATAAGTAACAGGAAAAAAGTGCTCCACATCCGGGGCACAGGTAAGTGCATTTCAACACTGGGAGCTGCAGAATACTGTGGAGCCTTTAGGACCCAAAGGAAAGAATGGCGGACATGGATACAGTGACAGCTTGCAGTGAGATTTTCAGAGGGAGAGTCCTACCCAGCAGAGCTGAAGTCCCTGTGTCACTTCCAGACCACTCCAGTCTTTGTTGGAAAAACTAGGGATGGAAAGCTGTGAAAGGAAGGAGAAACTGGACACTTACTTCTCCATTTCAGAAAAGAAATATAAATCATTGATGGCAAAGTTGACAACGATGATCCTGTGGCCAAATATCCGGCGCTTCACAAGGGTTATGTCTCCATTCTCATGGTCTGCACCCCGGACACTGGTGGGATTTGTGGCCAGGCGTCCTGGTGTGTTTGGGGATATGGAGAAATCTGAGACAGAACGAGAGAGGAATGAACAAGATGTCACTTCTAAGCATGAAGCTTTTGACCTGGGCATAACCCAAATGAAAAAAAAAAAGAAAGAAACTGTGCACCCACCTTTGGGCCTGTTGAAATAGTGATTCCCTACCCTTTTGTTCAACCTGTAACTTAGGCTTAACCGTGCTGAAAAAGCCATCTGCTCAGATTAGTATGACAACACATATATGAAAAAAAAAATCAACTGAGTACGGTGTATTCCTGGTGCTTGACTAATAGAAATACAATCAACACCATAGTTGGGCTAATCCTTAACGTTTCTTCAGAGGCCGAATATGCGGACCAGATCTTCAAAATACAGTGGGGTCCGATGATGCTTATCAAGGGTTACTGGGGAAGCAATTTAGAAGTAACTAGGAAAACAGCACAAAGGAAAAGCTCAAACATGAAGAATAGAGAAGAAGTTTATTAAAGAAACTGAGTAGAAAAAAGACAGAAATGAGTAAAGAAAAGCACAGACACTTCTAGAAAGTTTGGATTGTGTCTCAGAAAAATAAGACACTTATTTTAGCAAGTTTCTTGACTAAGATGTAGCCAAAGACACTCATTCAGAGGGATTCAGGGCTGACAACAGTTTGGGGCTGGAGCTGACGGGTAGACCTTGGTTAACTGCCTTGTCAGCTGAGGGGGGCTGAAGAGGGATTCGAGCAGGTGAGCTGTCCAACCGGGAAAATGTGCGAGGAGCCGACATGGAGCAAAACAGCACTTTCTTGCAGCGCAAGCGGGTGGTGAGGGTGGCAGCGGGCGGCAGCGCTCAGCATTTTCTTCTAGTTTAACATGATGGCGCCCCCACCCCCCGAGGTGCACGTGTCCTGCTTTCATCTGTTTCCTGCCTGCACATGTGCAGTGCTCATCTCTTTGTTCAAGAGGCTTCCATAACACCACCATCGCGTGCACACTTCTACTTTCTTGCTTCTAAAACTTACATAACCGGCGCATGCGTACAATCATTATTTACCTTATACTACAAGCACGTTGTTGTGGCCTCGGCCTTGAGTCCGGCCTACTCATCCGAGGCCACTGACATGCCTGACATAAGAAAATTGTTTAATTCGGCTCTAGAATGTACTCTATAAATAAACTACTAACATATATTAGAAACGTACTAATAAACCTATTATTCTGGATATCCGTTCAGGAATAACTGGTGTGGGTATAGTGCTCCCTATGGGTTAGGGTTTAGGATTAGGGTTAGGGTTTAGGATTAGGGTTAGGGTTAAGGTTAAGGGTTAGGGTTAGGGTTAGGGTTAGGGTTAGGGTTAGGGTTAGGGTTAGGGTTAGGGTTAGGGTTAGGGTTAGGGTTAGGGTTAGGGTTAGGGTTA